GACACAGAGTACACGGGAGGGTCTTTGAAATGTAATTTCACAAGATCCCACAGGTGAAGCACCAGCCTACTATGATCTGAGTTCCACAAAATCAGGCTCTGCGGAAGCAGCAAAGGAAGATACAACACTCCAGGCACAGAGAAGGGAGCAAGTTGAACTTTGGAGAGATAGGCATTCATGGCAAGCTCACACTCAGCAACAGGCAAAAGACACCCAATGCATCAATTTCTAGATGAGGTCATAGAATAACCATGGAGAAGAACATCTCAGGAGGGGCTGGCATGCTCTCCGTGCCATGCATCTCTGCAACACCTTCAGCAACTTCAGTCAGGCGCTGACTGCAGCAGCTGGAAGGTCAGTAATTGGCCACTCTTGAAACCTGGGACACTAAATTTAATCCCAGACACAATCTGCTGCTGGCTGCGAAGATCTGCTTTCTTCCTTGGGGAGATTTTTCTCAATTCCATAATATCTTGGTCCTAAACAAACTGTGCATGGTAATAATCAGAATAACAGACTGGAAGCTAGGGAACTAAGATTCCAGTGCGGCCTCAGCCAGTGCTGTGTCTTATTTATTTGTTTGCAAATCACTGAGCTAGCATAAACCAGCAGGAAGGATATAGTGTCAAGATTCAGGGGTGCCTCACACATCCTGAAGGCAGATCCAGGCCTCTGAAAAGCCTGTTCGTTCTCTGTTCACTCTTCTCTCCTCCTCTCAGTGCATTTATGCATTCATCCTTTTCCTGCTGCCCTGTTTATGGACTGGAACACAGCCACCCTTCTGCCCCCAGGTTGGGCTGAATGCATCTAATCTGAAACTCCAAAGTTGGAAATGTTCGGAAGTCAGAAACTTTCTGAGCACCAATGTGACATGGCAAGTTGAAGAATCCACAGCTGATCTCACATGACAGGTCTAAGGCAAAATGTAGATGCGTGAAAACCATTACAGCATAGTCCTAGTACCTTCAGATGAGGTGTGCAGGTGTATATGAAATATAAATAAATTTTGTACTTAGACTTGGGTTCCTTCCCCGAGCTATCTTGTTCATATATATTCCAAAATCTAAAAAGCTCCATGATCCAAAACACTTTTGGTCCCAAACATTTCAGGGAAGGCAAAGTTAAGCAGTTACAGCTGACAGTTACTGAGCACTTAACCCGGGTCAGACACCATATGAGCCCTGTAGAAAGATTACTCTATTTTATCATTCCCATTCGTTGTGATAGGGAGGCCACAATTACTCCCTTTAGACAGCTAAGGAAATTGAGTTACAGAGAATTCAAGTAACTTGCACGAGAACACACAGCGAGTTCTCTCACAGACTCCAGGCAGACTGAACTTACAGAAGATTTGTGTCCTGTTCAGATTCTTTCATGTCGCACACAAAAATGAAATGCTTTCTGTGCAATGTCATAGTTCAAAGTAAAACCAGCATAGTTCAAAGTAAAACCAGGTTATCTCAGGTATGGCCAGCAGCTGGGGATCCACAGTATAAACAAGAGTTAGAAAGGCATGGACTGTGGTGTCTCACAATACGATGATGTCGCTAAATACAAAGAATGATTTTTCAGTTCTTCCCTCCCCTCCCTCTCAAGATGCCCCCACTCCCTTGATTTAAGAAAATAAGTCCTCTCCAGGGATCCCTTCTACTCCTTCCAGCCTCCTCCTGCTTCTCTGGTTGCTTCTTCCAACATTTAAGGTTCTTCTGTTTTTGTTTTTTTACAGGCAGAGTGGACAGTGAGAGAGAGAGACAGAGAGAAAGGTCTTCCTTTGCCGTTGGTTCACCCTCCAATGGCCACTGTGGCCGGCGCACCACACTGATCCGAAGGCAGGAGCCAGGTGCTTCTCCTGGTCTCCCATTGGGTGCAGGGCCCAAGCACTTGGGCCATCCTCCACTGCACTCCCTGGCCACAGCAGAGAGCTGGCCTGGAAGAGGGGCAACCGGGACAGAATCCGGAGCCCCGTCCGGGACTTGAACCAGGGGTGCCGGTGCCGCTAGGGTGGGGGATTAGCCTAGTGAGCCGTGGTGTCAGCCGGTTCTTTTGCTAAGTATCCAAGCCCTTGAGAGCAATTCCCGCAATGCCCACAGCACCAATGAAGATCCGCAGTTTGATGTTCTTCCTGGAACACCACACCTGTGCCTCGGGCTGCCCACCTGACACTTCTGTTGGGATCTCTCAACAGGCCTCAAAACCAACAGATGAAGACCTGGACTTCCTTCCACAATCTGACCTCCTTCAGTGTTCCCAGAAGGAGCAAATAAGAAACCTGTGTATCATCTTCAATATTTTCTTTTTCTCACACCCATATCAACTTCAGCACTGGACTGGTTCTAGTTTAGTTCCTAAACAGAACTTAACTAGGTCCAGTTTTCTCTGTTTCTCCTTCCACCACCCTCACTGAAACTAGCCTCAGTGACCACCTGCTGTATGACAATATCTGGTCACCAGCCTCTCCTTCTCATCTGCTATTCTTTCTCCGGAGCCCAGAAATAAATATTCTTTAATGAAAACCCTTTGGCAGCTTCCCAGTTCTTACAGGATAAAAACTAAAATCGTTAGCATGGCCTACAAGAGTCGGCCCATCTCGTCCTTGCCTTTTCATCCTCACCTCTCTCCACACAGTCCCCTGCTCTTGGCAATGTTTGGGTAGAGATGGAGAATGATAAGCATCCTGCAATCCCTCACAACAAAGGGTTATCCAGCCCCAAACATAGTGCCAAGGCTGAAAATCCAGTCTAAGCTAATGATTTCTTCTCCATTACTTGGAGAAATTGGTTTAAAATTTCAGGCTTAAGCCAATCAGCACAAAGGATCCATCTAGCCACCATTATGCCAGTGGCCACAAGGTATGCACTTGGTTACTAATATTGGTCCAGAAGTTAGTGGGTTTCCTAAATTGACTCACTCCACGAAGATGCACTTATTAGTCCGTGCCTGCAGGACAGGTTCTCGCTCCACTCCTGTCCTCTCACTGTTTGGAAACAAGAAAGCATGTTACTGCACTTGCCATTTAAAACATTTTAAAAAACAGTCTAAGAACACAAACACGACTCACACACCAAGAGTGGTAGAGCAGGGAGACAGAGAAAACCTGAACTTCACGGCATTGTTGAGCTAGTCAGTCAACCAAACCTGAAGCCTACTCTCTCCTGCTTAACTTCTCTTTATTTGAGATAAATGCACGTCCAGCTTGTAAATGTTAGTTTGAATTATATGTTCTGTTACTAGAGATACTACCCAATTCATTTATGTGTTTCCTTCCTGTCAGTCTTTATATACAACAAGTTTATGATTCCACATACGGCTAAGATCCTTCTAGCCCCTAACATGTTTGGTGAAGAGATGAACTGGTGTTGGTGGAGATGGGCAGAGGACTCCACATTGTAACCGAATTAAAGAACATTTCTGTTTACCACTTGAGCCCCACCACATTTTCTATTCCTTCCATATCTGTCTCAGATGCATTCAGGACAAGATGGAAGGCAATTTATTTTGCTAAGATGATGACAGGTGTGCTTGTGACCCCATCAACCTTGCCTTCTGCCTATTCCTTTGGTTCTGATCCCAAACAGCTGCTCCCCACTCCTCACCCCCCCCCTTCTGAAACACTGGATTTTCAGAAACCATCTATCCACTGTGCATCACTGTCGATGATAGCCCCAGTCATGGGACCAGTGACAACAGGACATGAGACAGCTGCCACTGTCACTTTCCATGACCATTAGGTACCAGTTCTAGGACAAACCAGACTTCATTGCTGAGTTCTGTGTTAGGACAGCATTTGAATAACATCTGTGGTGGTGGGGATCATTGAGTGCTATGGTAATCAGAGCTTAATGCTGTACGCACCTTATCTCCTTGAATCCTCACAAGCCACCCGTTGGTGTAGGCACTATTATTATCCCTGTTTTTCAGATGAGGTAATAGGCTACAGGGAGGTTAAATCATTTGCCAAAGTCCACACAGCTGGTAAATGAAGCCCTTTTTCCTGGATCATAGAGAATAAAGGCCAAGTGAATGAAGTCCCTGCGATTTATTTTGTTTTAATTAAATCAGTCTTTTCTACAATTCCAATTAAAAACAATAGATAGGGAAGATAACCTTACCAAACAGTGTGGAGAGAGAGAAACTGAAAAGAAGTCTTCCTCCCCTGCTCGTCCCTTTTCAGCTGTCCTGTACAGCTCTGCGGGGATAATAATTGCTAGAAGTTTCTGGAAAATGTTTAGAGAAATTCTCTTTTGCTTGTGCAAAAAAGCAGTTCCTTCTTTTTTTTTTTTTAAACTTTTATTTAATGCATATAAATTTCCAAAGTACGACTTATGGATTACAATGGCTTCCCCCCATACCGTCCCTCCCACCCACAACCCTCCCCTTTCCCACTCCCTCTCCCCTTCCATTCACATCAAGATTCATTTTTGATTATCTTAATATACAGAAGATCAGCTTAGTATACATCAAGTATGGATTTCAACAGTTTGCTCCCACACAGAAACATAAAGTGAAAAATAATAGATGATTTTTTTTAAATGATGATGAAATCAGAGCAGACCTATTGTCATGTTTAATCCCAGTGAGAGTCAAGTTGGGAATTGATAATTTCTTTTTTTTACAGAGGATCAGTTTAGTATGCATTAAGTAAGGATTTCAACAGTTTGCACCCCCATAGAAACACAAAGTGAAATATATTGTTTGAGTACTCGTTATAGCATTAAATCTCAATGTACAGCACATTAAGGATAGAGATCCTACATGAGGAGTAAGTGCACAGTGACTCCTGTTGTTGACTTTACCAATTGACACTCCTGTCTATGGCATCAGTAATCTCCCTATGCTCCAGTCATGAGTTTCCAAGGCTATGGAAGCCCTCTGAGTTCTCCGACTCTTATCTTGTTTAGACAAGGTCATAGTCAAAGTGGAGGTTCTCTCCTCCCTTCAGAGAAAGGTACCTCCTTCTTTGATGACCTGTTCTTTCCACTGGGATCTCACTCGCAGAGATCTTTTGCCAGAGTGTCTTGGCTTTCCATGCCTGAAATACTCTCATGAGCTTTTCAGCCAGCTCCGAATGCCTTTAGGGCTGATTCTGAGGCCAGAGTGCTATTTAGGACATCTGCCATTCTATGAGTCTGCTGAGTATCTCACTTCCCATGTTGGATCACTCTCCCCTTTATTTACTCCATCGGTTAGCGTTAGCAGGTACTAGACTTGTCTATGTGCTCCCTTTGACTCCCAGTCCCTCCACCCCTCTAGTAATGTTACTAGAGAACATTGGAGAAACCCTTCAAGATATTGGCACAGGCAAAGAATTTCTGGAAAAGACCCGGGAGGCACAGGCAGTCAAAGCCAAAATCAACTATTGGGATTGCATCAAATTGAGAAGTTTCTGTACTGCAAAAGAAACAGTAAGGAGAGTGAAGAGACAACCGACAGAATGGGAAAAAATATTTGCAAACTATGCAACAGTTAAAGGGTTAATAACCAGAATCTACAAAGAGATCAAGAAACTCCACAAAAACAAAACCAACAACCCACTTAAGAGATGGGCCAAGGACCTCAATAGACATTTTTCAAAAGAGGAAATCCAAATGGCCAACAGGCACATGAAAAAATGTTCAAGGTCATTAGCAATCAGGGAAATGCAAATCAAAACCACAATGAGGTTTCACCTCACCCCGGTTAGAATGGCTCACATGCAGAAATCTACCAACAACAGATGCTGGGGAGGATGTGGGGAAAAAGGGACACTAACCCACTGTTGGTGGGAATGCAAACTGGTCAAGCCACTATGGAAGTCAGTCTGGAGATTCCTCAGAAACCTGAAGATAACCCTACCGTTGGACCCAGCCATCCCACTCCTTGGAATTTACCCAAAGGAATTTAAATTGGCAAACAAAAAAGAGGTCTGCACCCTAATGTTTATTGCAGCTCAATTCACAATAGCTAAGACCTGGAACCAACCTAAATGCCCATCAACGATAGACTGGATAAAGAAATTATGGGATATGTACTCTTTAGAATACTATACCGCAGTAAGAAACAACGAAATCCAGTCATTTGCAACAAAATGGAGGAATCTGGAACACATCATGCTGAGTGAAATAAGCCAGTCCCAAAGGGACAAATACCATATGTTCTCCCTGATCGGTGACGACTGACTGAACACCAAGAGGGAAACCTGTTGGAGTGAGGTGGACACTATGGGAAACGGTGGCTTAATCAGCATAGCCCTGACTGTTAATGAACAACTTAATACATTATCCCTCTTAGTAGTTTTTTTATCTGTTCTACTTAATATGACTGGTTTAGATCTGTAATTGATGCACAGTTATTCTTAAGTGTTGAAAATTAACTGAAATGTGATCCCTGTTGAACATGGTGGTGGGAATGGGAGAGGGAAGAGATGTATAATTTGGGACATGCTCAGGCTGACTTGCCCCAAGTGGTGGAGTTGGAAGCATACCAGGGGATTCCAATTCAATCCCATCGAGGTGGCATGTACCAATGCCATCTCACTGTTCCAGGTGTTTCAGTTCACAGTTGGTCATGGTGGAGGGACTGGGAGTCAAAAGCAGTTCCTTCTTTTTAAACATCCTTTCTTCTGCTTTCTCCAGGGTCTTTCCTGCCTCTTCAGATCTCATTTCCACTCTTTGCATAGGACAGGAACTGACTGTTGCCAACTACCATGTAGACATGGTAGTAAAATCTCAGGAAGAGAACTCAAGCAGCAGCATCTATGACACAGAAACATAAAAAAGAAGAAAAAACTGAAAAGCAGAGGGTTCCTTAATAGGCATCTCTTCCTTACTCCAGCCTGAGTTGTCACCAGAAACCTATAGGCTCCAAGGAGCCATTTAACCTAATGGTTAGGACACCTGCATCCCAAATCAGAGTGCATGGGTTTGACTCCCACCTTTGGCTCCTTACTCCAGCTTCCTTCCAGGAAAGACCCAGGGAGGTACTGGTGATGATTCAAATAATTAGGTTTCTGCCACACATGTAAGACACCTGGATTAAGTTCTAGGCTCGTGGCTTGGGTCCCAGCCTCAGATATTGCAGGCATTCGGGGAGTGAACCAGTGGCTGAGAGCTTGCTCTCTCTGCCTCTCAGATAAATAAATAAACATTCCGTTGCTGAACTGTCAGGGTGAATCTGCAACTGGATGATTAAATAAGTGCACAGGTCACTGGCAAGGAGTGATGCTCTCACAGCTCTGTGTCCTGAAGCTCCCCAAGTGAAGACAGGCCCTTGTGTTCATTTGGGCTCCCACCTTTTGCTCTGTTTTTACCACAAGCTTCCTAACTGTTGCTGTTGTTTAAACGAAGCACAGCTCTCTCAAAAAAGCCATAAGAAATAACCTTTCAAACAAGGCCTTCCAAAGGTTCATCCTGCTGGAAATTTCACCCACTCCCATCCACTGCTACTATCAGCACACGTTCAGCTCTCAATAGCATCAGCCTAAGCATAATGAGTTAACCCCTCCAAAAAACCAAACGAAGATTAGGCAGTTAGAATTGGATTCTCCAAGACCCAATCATTGCTGTTTGTATCTCGGAAAGCAGCAAAGTTTTGGCTCAGATAAGGGGAGAGCTGACCTGCACACCTGGAAGATTCTGTGACCTTTGTAACTGGACTGCAGCTTTCAGAGGTGGCCCAGGCCAAAAAGAAAAAAAAGACTTGACCCACTTTGATTTTGGACTAGGAAGCTAGGATATCTCCTTCTAAGATAAGGTCTAAAATAGCAAGTCCTAATTTTGTTTAGACACGGGTATATCTCTCTTTCAATGTCTGTCACCTCCACTTTGATGTCACCTATCTCCTCAGTCACACTCTACCCTACAGCTGCCACCACCACCATGTGAAAAGGTATCTGGTACTCCCTGGTTCCACCATGTATAAGCTGAGATATGCCTTCAATTTCATGTGCAAGACCAGAGCATAGCTTTCTAAATTTCAAGAAACCAGCTACCTGGTGGACCTTGGCCAAGTTCAACAGAGGAAAAGGATGTTCCTATCATGCGTACATAACTGGGGAGTTGGGAAGATGGATTGCTGTGGAATTACAATGCTGGAAATTCTCTCCTCTCCTCTTCTCTCAAATTGACCTGATGTTTAACATTTCTTAAGAACTGTAACACACAAATTTATTGAGCACCTACTATGTGTCTGACACTGTGGTTGGCACTTGAGATGTATTATTAAATCATACAGATTCAATCGTGCAGCTGGAAAGCAAACAGGGGATGGTGGTGTAGGTGGAGATAGAGTAAGCAATAAGCATGGTACATAAGTGAATTATGTAATGAATAAAGTACTATGAAAAAGGTAGGGAAGAGTAAATCAGAATAAAGAAATCAGAAGTGAGAGAGGGTTCAGATTGCTATCTAAAATAGTGTTTAGGACAGTCTCCATGAGAAAGTGACCAAGTAAATGACAGAGTCCTTAACATAGGAGATCCTGGACTGCTTGTACAGGAGGAAAGTGGTCAGTACAGCGGCAGAGGAATGATGTGGGATGATGTAGGGCAGTGAGAGTTGAGGAAGGCGGATGGTGAAAGATCATTTCTTCCAAAGAACGTGGGGAGTCATTAGAGAGAACCCGCTGTTGCCTGTTTGTCTGCCTGAGACCTGTCTCCCTTTTTGGATACACTTCCCCAGTTTTCCCATCCCTCTCCTCTTCAGTCTACATGATTTAGGTGGGGCTGATAAAACTTCACAATCCAGGTTTGAACACCCAGATTTGGCAAATCAGTATCTTAGTCATGGCAGCTGATTCAGATGTAGACATTTGATCCACAGTAAGTCTAGCCAATTTCAGGAATTTTTTCAGGGTTGTGACCTTTCTTCCTGTATAACTCAGCAGCCACTGTGGTGTCACAAAGCAGAAGCTTGCCTAAAACTGATGCCAGCACAGATGGAAACAGAGCCTAGGAGTAAAGAAACACAGATCTCTATTGATACACTTGAGCACCTGGACCCACTCTGCCTGAAACTAAAATTTCTAGCTTTTTTAGTTATATATTAGTAACTTTCCTTTTAGCTTGAACTAGTTAATGTAGTGTTTCTCTTCCTTGAGTGGAAAATGTACTGATTTCATCACTAATGGAATGCAGATGAGTTGTCTTTTACAATGTCTTGCCTCTTCAACTGAAGGAGTACCTAATCATAGCTGAGATGGGAAGGAGTGTAGGTGAGTTACGCAGCAAAATTTAAGAGATCTGAAAACATTGTCCTGTCCTCTAATTTCCATAACCAAGACCATTAACTCCTTACCTGTATGTTCCACCTCAACTAGTCTATACCAGCTTTCCCAAGAAAACATAGAAATATTGGAGACAAGGGCTCAAACTAAGATTCTAATAATCCTGCATCTAAGACTCTCTGATGCTGGTAGCCCAGCTCCCCAGTAACTGATCTCCTGCTTTTCCCTCTCCCTTTGTCTGAGTCCTATTTAGTTCTGAAAGTACCTTTTCCTAAACCTCAATGTCTGCTTGTGGTCGATTAAATTGTTAGCCCCAATTCTTCATTCCACTTGCATTGCCTTGCCTTGGCCTCTTCTTGTATAGAATATATGTACTTTCCTACTGCCTGACTTTGGGTTTAGCCATGAACTTGCCCCAGCCAATGTCATGTGAGTGGAAATGACAGTGTGCTGGTCCCAGTTTTGCCCTTGAGTGAACTTCCTGTTTCCATTTGTACTCTGGTGCCTTTATCACCATGAGAGGACCATGCCTCAAGTATCCCATTGGTCTACAGAGGCAGAAGAGACCTGTGGAGCGTAGCTTCCCTAGCCACCATAAGTTTAAGCTCAATTACCCCAACCCAATCAGACACATAGAGTAACTCACTCGAGTCCTGCCTAGGTGAACAAACTACAGTCAGTTTACACAAGTATTAGCAGCAATGAATGTTTATTTCAAGCCATAGCATTTAGAGGGCAATTTGTTAGGAAACAATTACTACCTGATGTTGTCTCCTTGGTACTGACTGCCAATATCAGCTTCCTGGCCCATATTCTTGGACATTCATTAACTATATGTACCTCTCAGCCATCCTGGTTAAGATATTTAGACTCTGGGTGTCTGAGAGAAAAGATCACTTTTCTTTTTTGTCTAGTTTCCAGATAAAATATAGGAAACTAATTTACATCTCAGGTTAAAAATGGGTGGTTTTTTTTTTTTTTTTTGGTATAAGTGTGTCCAAGGCAATATTTGCATTTATCCAAAACTTAAATTTAACTGAAAAATCTGTATTTTTATTTACTAAATTTGGCAACCCAATGTAGTGGCTTTGGAGAAAGATAAAGGTGTACTCCATCTCCCTTCACTTAAGATTTAGGATCATTTATTATAATACTACATGGAGTAATTATTTGCAGTGAAAGTTTAGATTTTGTTGGTGTTGTTGTTCAGTGTTTGAAGTGTCTGTCTCATAAACACTCTTTCCAAATTCCAAGGTACAGGTGAGGGAAGAAAGACATGTGGAGTTTATTCAGTTAATTGGATGGGTGTAAGGACTCCCTCTCTAACAATCATACAAATCTGTCCATTCTCAGCACAACAGGGGTGAAACATAGAGTTAAATACCAGCAGCCACAAATTGAGATTATAATGGCTGCTTATCATTCCCCAGTTCATAGAAGGACCCTATCTTTTATTGTGAATTTGATTAAAGGCTTCAGCTTCAAAATAAGACTCATGTCCAAGGGGCTTTCATTTTCCCTTTGATAAACAGGCATAATTCACTTTTCTTTAATGTTATTCCAAATAGCATTGTGTTACAATGGGGTTTTTGTGATGCACCAAAAACATTTTTGAAACTGTTCTTATCTTTGCAGGCTCTTGCTAACAGTCACCACAATACTCTCTTGAGCAAAAGTGTGCCTGCTCTAGCAAAGACTAAGAAATAAGTTTATGGCTTCTGGTAGTTGGATCCCTTGGGTAAAAAGGAGAAAAGGTTGTATAGAAATTCTTTTTCATAAAAGGCTTTGACAAATGGCTAAAATACAGCATCCTGGGAAATTTGTGTTAGATTTATTTTCAATCAACACTTGGTAAACATCTACTATGTACCAGGCAGTTCATACACTAGTAGCTCTTTGCACATTAGAATCACTTAGGTAGATTTTTAAAAACACATTTCCCTGGGTTTCACCCTCAGAGATTCTATTCCCATTGGTTTGAGGTGGAGCCTGAGCATTCATATTTTATGATGGAGGCAGCAATAAAGAATGCTGTCATACATGATCTTGTTTATTCTTCCCAACAATCTGGCAAGAACAACATAAGTATCCCTGCATTTATGTATGAGAGGGTTGCATTCTCCATGACCTCTTCCATGAGTTTGGGCTATTTTATTCTCAATTTCATATTAGGTCAGTACATGTTACTAAGGTGCTGCAAGATTTTTTTAAAATGAGTCCTCTAAAAAGAGTATAAATGTGCAGTGCCTCTTAGAGGATTAAATTCAATACACCAAAATGTGATGCTGTAATTTTAAACTTCATATACTCTCATACGGTTTATCATAAATAATCAATAGTTTAATTTATTCCCCATCACTCCTCATCATTCTATGCATTTTCCCAATCTTATTTACTCTCTCTCCTCCAGGTTTTCTGTTCTGTCTTACTGGATTATTTTAAAGCAAATCTCAGGCATCATGTCAGTCACCCTTAACTACTCTAGCATCTATCCCTAACACCTGAGGACTTTTTTTTATTGTGATAAAATAAACATAACATCCATTGCCATCTATTTTAACCATTTTTAAGTGTACAGTTTATGGATATTAAGTATATTCATATTGTTATCTTTCTAAACAAACATCCATTCAATATTAGCTCTCCATTCCCCTCCTCCCAGCTGCTGAAATTCACTATTCTACTTTCTAAGAATTTGGCCATTCTAGTGATCTTATAAAACCAGAACCACACAGCATTTGTCCTTTCATGCCTGGTTTGTTTCGTGTATGGTAATATCATCAATATTCATCCAGATAGCAGCAGAAAATACCTGTGGACCTCTGTCTACAATAAAACCATAGCACCGTTACTGGCCTTAACAACATCAATAATAACAATTTAATGCAAGCTTATATTCAAGTTGAATTCATTTCTTGTCTCAAAAATGTCATTTTACAGTTATTCTGTTGGCATGAAGTTCCAAACAAGATTAAGATGTCTTTTATGTTTCCTTTAATCTAATGATACCTCCTCACCCAAAAGCATGCATTGTGTTAAAGAAACCAGGTCACTAATCCTGGAAAATTGTCCACATTTAGGTTTGACGGATGAGATTCTCATGTATTTAGAAGCATTCAACATGCTCCTCCATCTTCATTATTTCCTGTAAACAAATATTGTGCCACACAGGAGGTTTGCAATGTCTGGTTGCCCTACTTGTAATAATTTTAAGATTGCTCAAGTGATGTCATTCTGATATTCCTTCCAGTTTGTCCATGATAGGATGTCCACCATGCCAAGTGTGGGGAGCAACTCGGACTAGACTAAGTTACTGGAATTAAGACTTATTCTATGCATCTGCTCTCCCACAATATGGCGCTGGGAGAGGAGTAAACAACTTCTACACAGCTGCCTCCAGTTCGACCAATAACCTGCAGGAGCTGATCCTGCTCCTGATTGGAGGAGAGCAGCGTACTCGGCGTGTGGGTAGCAGAGTTGGGATTGGTGGAAGAGGACTATAAAGGAGGAGAGAGACAACATACACCCGGGAACATCTAAGGGGAACATCCGGATAACATCTGAGCAGCCCCCGAGAGAGCCGGCCGGTGGTGTGCTGCTCCCCCGCGGAAGTGGGGAAAGTGGCAGGGGGAACCGCCCTTCCACGGAGGTGGAAGGGTCGGCAGCCAACCCGGGAAGGACCAGCAGCAAACCCGGGAAGGGCCGAGCAGACAAAAGAACAGCGCAGGGTCCTGTGTCGTTCCTCCGCGAAGAGGGGGAGCGACACCAAGAAATCTTACACACCCAGCTCCTCACAAACTGATGTTTTCCTGTCCAGATTTTCTCCTCTGTTCAAAAGAAGAAACAGGTCCAGTGAAGCTGATGGCTTGGATAACATCAAATGTTTTTCAACCAATATTTATGGAACTCCCATTCCTTGGACAACCTAAGGCTCTTAATGTATAAAGTTACATCACTCTTCTATGTGCTTCCAGGTGACTCAGTTCTGTTTGTTTTCTTTCTTCCTTTGTATGCTTTAGTGAGGTATAATGGACATATAAAAATGCAAATATTTGTGTACATTTTGATTTTGTTTTTTTAGTTTATTTTTTATTTTTTTTTATTTTTTGACAGGCAGAGTGGACAGTGAGAGAGAGAGACAGAGAGAAAGGTCTTCCTTTTGCCGTTGGTTCACCCTCCAATGGCCGCTGTGGCCGGCACGCTGCGGCCGGCGCATCGTGCTGATCGGAAGCCAGGAGTCAGGTGCTTCCTCCTGGTCTCCCATGTGGGTGCAGGGCCCAAGCACTTGGGCCATCCTCCACTGCACTCCCGGGCCACAGCAGAGAGCTGGCCTGGAAGAGGGGCAACCAGGACAGAATCCGGCACTCCGACCGGGACTAGAACCCGGTGTGCCAGCACCGCTAGGTGGAGGATTAGCCTATTGAGCAGCAGTGCCAGCCTAACATTAATTAAATATTCTATATGGAATCAAGTGTTCCTTTTTTTATCTCTCTTCCCCATTTAAAAATATCTTATTCATTTGAAAGAGTTACAGAGAGAGAGGGAGACACACTGAGAGAGAGAGAGAGAGAGAGAGAGCGAGCGAGCTTCCATTTACTGGTCCACTCCCCAGATGGCTGCAATGACCAGGGCTGGGTTAGGCCAAAATCAGAAGCCAGGAGCTTCATTTGGGTCTCCAATGTGGGTGGTAGGGTCCCAAACATTTGGACCATCTTCCGCTGCTTTCCGCAGGCCATCAGCAGGGAGTTGGATTGGAATTGAAACAGCCAAGACACAAACCAGCAATATGGGATACCAGTGTCACAGGCAGCAGCCTCACCCACTACACCACAACGCCCCCCTCCCCACTTCTTCATTTAAATAGAGTTCCACATGGGCCTGTGCTGTGGTGCACTAGGTTAATCCTTCACCTGTGGCGCCGGCATCTGATATGGGTGCTGCTTCTAGTCCTGGTTGCTCCTCTTCCAGTCCAGTTCTCTGCTGTGGCCTGGGAAAGCAGTAGAAGATGACCCAAGTGCTTGGGCCCCTGCCTCCGCATGGAAGACAAGGAAGAAGCTACTGGCTCCTGGCTCAAGATTAGCGCAGCTCCAGCTGTTGCAGCCACTTGGGAAGTGAACCAATAGAAGGAAGATCTTTCTCTGTCTCTCTCTCTGTCATAACTCTACCTGTCAAATAAATAAAATCTTAAATAAATAGAGTTCCACAAAGTCAACTTATTTATTTTATTCACTGTTGTATTGTCAACACAGAACACAATGCCTATGACAGAGAACAAACTCCATAACTAGTTATTGGGTGCATCCTTTAAGGTGAACGTTTAAAAGCTTATGAATACAGAAAGCCTGACTCCTCACATCAACCTGAACACTTTAGACTGCTCACCACACTACCTGGTGGTAACCTGAACACTTTAAACCTGCTAGTTCTCAAGCAACAAAAATGTGTTTCTCATGGTTCTTGAGGCTGAGAAATCCAATATCAAGCAGCTGGTATCATGTCTGATAATTCCCTGCTTTCTGGTTCATGGACAGTGCCTTGTCCTTAAGTGGCAACAGGGAAAGAGTGAGCTCCCTCGGGCCTGTTTTTCAAGGGCATTAATACCATTCATGAGGTCAAAAGGTCGCATCCCCTAATCCCATCACTTTGGTGATTAGGTTTCATCATATAGATTTTGAGGGGACAGATATAGTCATACCATTGTGTACCTACACAGCCTGGCTTAGCTCTAGGAATGGTTAAAAGACCTCTGATTTGCTTAGGTCTCCAAGCTCCACCTTTGGTTCTGTTAAGGTTATACCTCCTCCCAACTCACGCCTGAGGTCTCACACCTGAGGATGTGTCTTATTCCTGAATCTAAATGTCACTTTCTCAGGTCACAGATAAGCTCCACCTTGTTCTGTGCCTTCCCTCTGCCCTTCCCCTATCCCAGTCCCTATGGCTGGGGTCATGCTGCCTGCTGTATCAACGAGGTCCCTTGGATTAACCCTCTTAACTGCCCCCCATCAAAGTCTTTCCCATACTCCTTCACCCTCAACCTTTTCCCAAAGCAGTCCACACCTCAATGATGGGCCATATTAAGAGCTGTTACATTAAGAGCAAGCAAAATTTGCCCTGGTCCCTCCTGTATGCACTCGGGAAGGATATCCACAAGATCTTGAGAAAGAAGTCCTCTGTTTCCCTCATAGGCACTTATGATAGAAAGAATTACCAGCATTTGAGGTTCGGAGCCTTAGGTTGAACTCCATGAAATGACTGACATGCTTAACACCAGGGAAGCTCATGTCTGCCTAGCATTTCAGCTCACCTGCCTCTCCCACCCAGACACAGCATAGCAAGCGACTGTAGGATGCTTGGGACTAAGCTGGAGTGAAAGAAATATGACATCATTAAATATCGCATCATTAAATATCGCATAATTAAAGGGTGAAGACTGCCGGTGCCGCAGTTTACTAGGCTAATCCTCCGCCTTCCGGCACCAGCACAAAGGGTTCTAGTCCCGGTCAGGGCGCCGGATTCTGTCCCAGTTGCCCCTCTTCCAGTCCAGCTCCCTGCTGTGGCCAGGGAGTGCAGTGGAAGATGGCCCAAGTGCTTGGGCCCTGCACCCCATGGGAGACCAGGAGAAGCACTTGGCTCCTGGCTTCGGATCAGCGCGGTGCGCCAGCCGCAGCGGCCATTGGAGGGTGAACCAACGGCAAAGGAAGACCTTTCTCTCTGTCTCTCTCTCTCACTGTCCACTCTGCCTGTTAAAAAAAAAAAAAAAAAAGAAAAGAAAAAAAAAAGGGTGAAGATTAGGAACAAACAACTCTGGAGGAGAAAACCTTACTACCCCCATTCCATTTCAGCATGTGTGTGAAGCCCAGGCTCTTCTCTCACTCATACACATGCATTCAAGTACTACAGTGTACTAGACACTCTGCTGTTAACCTAGCATTATTTTTACACTTTAAGTTTAATCTCAGTCTCATTCTTCCTTTCCAGGAAGGCCTCTGTGTTAGAAACAGCACTGGCATAGAGCCAGAAAAATCATGGCTCAGCACACCAGATCTGTTCTGAATTAACTGCAAACCAAGGAGAAAGTTTCAGAGGACTCAGTTTGCTCACTGATAAAATGGGTATAAAAAATACCCACACTATTTTCAGGATGAAATTGATTGATGCATATGGAAAGTGCACTTACCATGGCAAGATTTCTTTTTTCATAAACATTTATTGTCCAGTTTCCTACTGGCAGCCATAGTCTCCAGTTTAAATAGGATTGTCCAGGGGCTGGCGCCGTGGCTCACTTGGTTAATCCTCTGCCTGTGGCGCTGGCATCCCATATGGGCGCCAGGTTCTAGTCCCGGTTGCTCCTCTTTCAATCCAGCTCTCTGCTGTGGCCCGGGAGGGCAGTGGAGGATGGCCCAGGTCCTTGGGCCCCTGCACCCACATGGGAGACCAGGAAGGGGCACATGGGAGACCAGGAAGGGGCACCTGGCTTCTGGCTTTGGATCAGCACAGCGCGCTGGCCATAGCGGCCATTTGGGGAGTGAACCAATGGAAGGAAGACCTTTCTCTCTGTCTCCCTCTCTCACTGTCTATAACTCTACCTCTCAAATAAATAAAAAATAAATAAATAGGATTGTTCAGGTAGGCGCAGACTGTTACATGTGGGATAAGAATCCCTGATGCACATTTATATGTTCCAATACTTATTAGATGAATTTGGCCCCAAAGATCAATGTCACTGTTGGCTTTCCTGTCTATTTTCAGATGTATTTTAAACACATCAATATCAAACAGCAGTTATCAGTGTTTGGCTGTCACATTGGACTTTGCCTCTCTTCAAAGGACTTGGCCAATGTGAGTGCTGGTGATGACAAATTGTTGGCAAAACTGAAAGAAGGAGCCAATTCCTATCCTGTCGAGGAAGTATAATTAATGATACCATTTGGAAGACAATTTGACAGTCTACATTAAAAATCAAAAATGCATACAACATCTATCCTAGAAATTCATCACTAAGAATGTCTGGTAACAAATTAGTCAGAAACCAGAATATTTGGTAAAAAAACAATTCATTAAATGATTGTTCATAAACACTTGGGGCAGGAGGACCTTTCAATAGGCAACCAGAGGGCTTTGATTAAATAGATTGTGACTATTCATGGAATGGAGCCCAATTGAGCCACTTGAAATCTTATGATGAAATGAGAAAGTGTAATCTATTGCTAGGTGAATAGAACTAGCTTAAAACATCCTGGTATGCTTTTTTTTTTAACCAAATACACCAAAAGTTTACCAGGGCAATATATGCAGAGAGAGATTATTGGTGATTTTTTTATCTGCCTATTTTTCAAGTTTTCAACAGTCTTCAAAAAGTATTACAATTCCTTCAAAATAGGTTGGGAAGAAAGGATTTTTTTCTGTTTCTAAGTAATTAACTCATAAACAACTCTTAAAATAGCATCATGCCCCACCACAGGGGAAAGAGTAGAGAACAGTGATTTCTGAGAACGATGGGGACACTCTGGGCATTGTTACATCACGAGAAAGGTCTAAAGATCAACTTTGCTGCTATTTCCCCATTCTGTATTGGTTCATGTTTGAAGGATGTTGTTGTGAGTTTTCCAGGGTGCATGTAAAAGATTTTTGTGACTGATTGCATTTAACTCAATGTATAATACAAAGGGATGTCAGGGTAGGAAGGAATCTCAGAAATTGTTCTGTTTTTATCTCCTCTTTCTTCTAACATAAGGCACTCAAACGCAGAGGAGCCAGGTGAGCTGTCTTTGGACACAAGGTTAGTCATGTCCTTCATTTATGGCTCTATATAGCAAGCACATTGAGCTTTATGTGACCAGTGAGGGGAAATTACCACGGATTCGGAGGAACCTGCATAAAATATATCCATTTGATTCCCCTAATTTTCCATCCAAAAACCTTTTATCCTTCCTAGCCTCTGGTAATCAATATTGTGTATTCTAATTGAGTTGGCTTTATTAAATTTTGGCTCCCACATATAAGGGAGAACATGTGGTATTTGTCTTTCTGCATCTGGCTTATTTCACTCAACATGAAGGTGCTAATAGGAGATGGTGATGGGGAGATAGGGTGGGGGTTTTATGGGAAGTTTGTATTACTACCTGACAATCTTTGTTTCATAAACATAAAAATATTCTGAAATAAAATGTTAAAAAAATATCCATTTAGAACACGGCTCTGTATAGCAAACGGCAATGAGATAAGATGAAATTTACTCAGCAGCATTCTTCTTCAGGGGGCCACAGTTGTGATAAGCTTGCTGGGAGTAGACGTCAAGGCTTTGGGGCCATGAAATGGCTGGTGTCAGGCTTCAGGAAGGGAGGCAGGACCCCTGTGCACAAGAGGAGAAAACTTTATTTGTTCCTGAAACATGGTGGGATGGAGAAAGAGGACAGAAACGAGAAATGTTGGTGAACAGATCATTTTTGTGAGTGCAAGAAATAATAGCTGAATTCTGTGTCCAAGTTGGGACAACCAATACATAACATTTTTCCCAAGAATTTCTCAGTGCAATGATAGTCCTATGTCCCAGGAATACTTCAGTCCTGGGCAAACCAGGGTAGTTAATTACCCTGCAGCCACATGTGTAGTTATGGGAGTTAGAGACCTCATCTGACATCTGGATTACAAAATATATTTTTTTAAATCCAAGAGACTGTCAAGTTTTGCAAAACATTGTCAAGTTTTGCAACAGGTTAAATGAGCAAAATGGGAAAGAGAACATCTCTTCCCACATCCAAAGAATCTATAATTTTTCAAAAGCCACTGCTTCAGCCCTAGCAATGGTTTTTAATTCTTTATGAATGTGAGAATCTTGATTAGAAATGTCTCTTGCCATTCTTGTGCCTGAATACTAGGAATTAAATTCTTGCTCTGCCAACTGGGGAACTCACCAAATCTCAGTGATATAGTAGAAATCACAACTTCTGTAAATAAAACCATCACTATACTTAAAATGAAGGTATACTTGTTGCACTACTTCAAAGTACTAATATTTAAATGAGTTCATGTGTGCAATAATCACTTAAAAAGTTATTTGTTTCGGGCTTTGTCTGTAATTTAAACTGTTGTTAGCAGACTAGTGTCTGTAAATACTAACTGACAGAATAAAAAAGGGAGAGAACGATCCAACATGGGAAGTGAGATACACAGCAGACCCATAGAATGGCAGATGTCCTAACAGCACTCTGGCCTCAGAATCAGCCCTTAAGGCACGTGGATCTGGCTGAAAAGCCCATGAGAGTATTACAGGCATGGAAAGCCAAAACACTCTGGCAAAAAAAAAAAAAAAAACAACAACCTAAATGAAAGATCTCCACAAGTGAGATCCCAGTGGAAAGAACGGGTCATCAAAGAAGGAGGTACCTTTCTCTGAAGGGAGGAGAGAACTTCCACTTTGACTATGACCTTGTCTAAATATGATCAGAGTCGGTGAGCTCAAAAGGCTTCCATAGCCTTGGCAACTCATGACAAGAGCCTAGGGTGATTACTGACGCCATAAACAAGAGTGTCAATTTGTTAAGTCAACAACAGGAGTCACTGTGCACTTACTCCTCATGTAGGATCTTTGTCCTTAGTGTGCTGTACATTGAGATTTAATGCTATAACTAGTACTCAAACAGTATTTTTCACTTTGTGTTTCTATGTGGGTGCAAACTGTTGAAATCTTTACTTAATGTATGCCAAACTGATCTTCTGTATATAAAGAGAATGGAAAATGAATCTTGATTTGAATGGAAGCGGGGAGGGAGAGGGAAAGGGGAGGGTTGTGGGTGGGAGGGACGTTATGGGGGGGAAGCCATTGTAATCCATAAGCTGTACTTTGGAAATTTATATTCATTAAATAAAAGTTAAAAAAAAAAAACTGTTAGCGTTTCCATTCCACTTTCAAATCCTCTGCAAATGTGCATATAGAAGGCAGAAGAGAAGCAAAGGTTGAAATCCAACAATCACTGTGTTGGGCGAGAACTGCTCCCCAGTACATGGAAGATCCCAGGATTCCTTGTTTTTTCTTCTCTAGTCTTTTCAATGCTCTGCAGCTCCAGGATGAGGATTTGGCTTGCCACTACCTGTGGCAAGTACATATTCAGAGGAGAATATATACTTAGAAGAAAGAGTAAGTTAAGGTGGTTAACAGATGTATGACTCTTTGGTGATTTTTCTTTTTTGACAGGCAGAGTGGACAGTGAGAGAGAGAGAAACAGAGAGAAAGGTCTTCCTTTGCTGTTGGTTCACCCTCCAATGGCCGCTGCGGCCGGTGCACTGCGGCCAGTGCACTGCGCTGATCTGAAGGCAGGAGCCAGGTGCTTCTCCTGGTCTCCCATAGGGTGCAGGGCCCAAGCACTTGGGCCAGCCTCCACTGCACTCCCTGGCCACAGCAGAGAGCTGGCCTGGAAGAGGGGCAACTGGGACAGAATCCGGCGCCCCGACCGGGAGTAGAACCCAGTGTGCCGGCGCCGCTAGGCGAAGGATTAGCCTGTTGAGCCACGGCGCCGGCTCTTTGTTGATTTCTTAAAGTCACATTAGTGTTTGGCTCAGCTCTCGTGGTATCTGGTAAATGCCATGAAAAAATGGAGTAAATGGGAAGTGATGGAAAAATAAGAGCTGGACAATACAACTCTTCATTGAACTCCTCCTAAGAAGGAGTTAAAAGGACTTGATTCTAGTGAACAGGGAATAATGGTTCTCAATCCTAAATGACAACAGAATCACAGTGGGAATTTGTTGAAAACAGACTTTCCTAATCTACAGTAGGTCTATATTTTTAACAGGTACCTGTATATTTTGATACTCTTCAGGTGATTTCAATATAGAGCTAGGGTCATAAACCGTGAGTCTAGCTGATGTGTGGTACTATGGGCTCAGGTGGGTGGAACTGAGAGAGGCATGGAATGCAGGTTTCACCTGCTGCCCTGGTTAGCAGCACGGGCTCTGGAGACCTGGGCATTCCTGCTCTGCACCTTGTAATTGGACAGATTACTTAACCTGAGTCCTCACTTTCCTCAGAAATAAATTGAGAATTAAAATGAAGACTTCCCTTGAGCTTGTTATGGATGAAAGAAAAGACTATTTGTAAAATGTCAGCTGCACAGGACACAGTATCCAGGAAATGGCAGAAAACATGGTCATTCCTCCTAAGCAGTCTAAATAATCCTTGGAGAGCCTCACTATTCACATCAGTACTTAAAAGGTGCACTCAAAGGGGCCATCTATAAGGCACCTTTCAGTTCTAACTCTCTACAATTGAGTAGGATGTAAAGCAGGAATTGGCAAACATTCTGTGGAAGAACAGACAGCAAATATTTTTGTCTTGGCAGACCAGATGGTCTCCATCAGAACTGCTCAACTCTGCTGTTACAGTGTGAAAGCACCCATAGATAATATATAAATGAATGAGTGTGGCTGCATTCCAATAAAGCTTTATTGACACAAACAGATAGTGGGCTGGATATAACCCCAGACTATATTTTACAGAATTCTGTTGTAAAGGATAAGAAACAGGTGGATTATCTCTACTCTATGCTGGCCAGAATAACTGCAGTAGTGTGTCTCCTCCCAGGTACTACCCTTTTGGGTATACTTAGGCAAAATAATATGCTCATTTAACTTTTTTTTAGTATCACTCTAATAATATTTCCCATCACACATGATCTTTTTACAATAAGATATTCTTCCCATCAAGAAATGGGGTCTATGTGTCTTCCCTCTGATTCTGGAAAATGCATGACTATGGCACTTTGGAGTCACTGTGCAATAAGGAAACCCTAGGTGTCTTGCAATTTCCAGTTATGCAAGTGAGCTCTCTTGAAGTGGATCTTCCAATCTTAGATGAGCCATCCCAGTTGAAACCATGAGGAGCAGAAATACACTATCCCTCTCAGCCTTACAGGTTTGTCATCTGAAGAAGTGATTGCATTTCCTAAGCCATTAAGTTTTTAAGGTGTTTCATCACATGGCAACAGATAACTAGATCACTTAGCAAATGGTTCACTTAGCTCACATTTGAACACTGGCAGTCTGACTCCAGAGTCCAAATTTGTAGTTGATACAGAGGGGCTGTACTGTCCAGATTCCCACTCAGGACCAAAAGACCTCTTCTCTCAAATGCTGGATATGATACCCACCAACAGCTCTCAGTAATTGATGAAGAGAATCTCTTTGTTCAAGATCACACTCCTTTCTGGGGCAGCAGACATCCAATGTCTGGTTGATGCAGAGACATTAAAAATTCAGCATCTTTTCCTCAACTTGAGCCAACCCCAAAGGATTGAACCAGCTTCACAAATTTCTGTGGGGTCAATTAAGACTTTTTGCTTCTACACCACAGCCCAACTTCTCTCTTCCCAATCTGCTGCTTTCACTTCCTCCACAGGTGCTGATCCTGAAATGTCCCCTCAAATTCTTGCATGCAGATTTGCATTTGAGTGTTCTCCTTGGGGAATCCAGCCACCACCCTTTTTCTAAACCATGATTAAAATAGTCTAATGGGGTGAGATGTTTACAAAGGTGGTGAACTGAAGGCACTCAAGCAGAGGCATTGATGGGAAAGGGTAGAAGGAAGTTGATATATGTAAACAACTATTATTGAATGCTTCCCACATCTTGTGAACATAAACATAAGAGAATATCTTTATCTAGAAATGTTTATCATATAATAAAGGATTTTGGCAAGGAAACAAAAAATTAAAATTATTACAGTGTAATAAGTACTATAAAACTTACAGGGAAAGTCTAACAATGCTGTGGAAACCCAGAGGGCCAGCACCTCTGAGCTTAAAAATACAGAAATATATAGAACATGAACTGCATACAGGGATCAACAAACATTAATAAAAATCCAAAAATATGGACAATGGTAAGTCATGTAACTGGAAACGTTGTCAGGCGCTGGGCCATAAAAGACTTTGGTACCCTGGTTAGTGGAACATATTTTACTTTATAGGAAAGTAGATTCTGCTAAAGGATTTCAAAAAACAGATCATCAGAATTCTATCCATATTCTAGAAAGATCACTTAAGCCACATCTTGAAAGATGATTTAAAAAGTGGCAAGAGTGGAGACAGGAAGAGCATTCTGGGTTAGTGTTGCAATAGTCCAGATGAAAAATTATGATCTTTGTTGTTAACATTCAGTGCACTGAGAAAGAGAAACAGAGATTCTGTATCTCCCCCCTGGACTCCTGCCAAAAACTGAACCATCTAATCTGGGCATTCTGTGTTAAATGTGGCTGCCCATATTGATTAAATTGAACAATTAGCTGATTAATCCTCTCCTCCATGGAGAGGCCAAGAAAGCAGTTCAGCAGTTGACCAGTTTCACAAGGGCAAATTAGTTTCTCTATCCCCCAGCACTCCAGAGAAAGCACCAGTTCCTCACACTGAAGATCCATGCTAATTAGATACTTGTGTACACGTCACTGCCCAGCCAATTGTGGAGACACTCTGGGCACCCCCAAGGAGTGGCTATCCTGCTTGAGAGTGTCATGACCACTGGAGACACTTTCTCCAAGGATGAAAACATTTCTACTGGCAACTTACTATCAAGAACATCTAGTCTGCCTTGAACCAGAAGTAATTTGTTGTTTGTGTGTGCCTTAAAGACATTTATCTGCCACCATGTCCTTGGGTCACAAGAAAGCACAGACCTGTGAAAAACTCAGCAGAGAAAAGAAGCTTAGAGGAGGTCACATTGATGATTGGTTCGGAACAGAATAGTCTCAACCTCAGGGCATCTTAGAGGTCCATAAAACCAGTACAATCCTTTGTGATTCAGTTCTCTTGGTATTAAAATGTGGGAGAACAGAGGTGGGGGAAGAAGCATGTGTTTTGTTCTGCTAACTACATTCCGTGCACATACACATGCAGCAACTACAATTCACTTAAATTTTACTTTCTTACAATAGATTATATATGAACATATTTTTTAAAAATTAGACAATATTGCAGATTACAGTAACAAAAATGTTTACCTTCCATTTTGCCTTTTTTTCCATTCCTAATTTCCATGCCAGAGGAATCATTGTTTCCCATTTCTTGTGTATCCTTCCAGCCTATGCACATCTACGCACACACACAGTACATTGCAAAAATATTGTGGAAATTACATTAATGGTTTATTCTAGTGAAAAATAAAGTTAAAATCCATGCAAAATTTTTCAAAAGATACATTTCCATGAGCTTTCTTTATATATATATGTATATATGTATGTATGAAATACATGGTTACATATGATTTTATTAGATCATTTTCTAAATTTAATAATATGTGGGTATTAGAGATCTTTTACATATGATTTTATTAGATCATTTTCTAAATTTAATAATATGTGGGTATTAGAGATCTTTCTGATTTAGTACACACACGTACAAGTATATTGCAGATCTTTCTGATTTAATAATACATATCCTCATTTATTTAGGAGATGTATAGGATTCCAATATATGAATGTACCATAATTTATTCAAATGACCCCCTACTGATGGCTACTGACATTGTGTTCAATATTTATTGTTAAAAGAATTCTGCTATGAATATCCTGTGTGTATTTATGTGTGTGTTTGTAGATATCTGTACATTTATCAAGTGCATACTTTATAGAAGTGGCATTACAGTATGGAAGGATGTGTGCATTTAAAATTTTGAAAGAGGTTGCTGAACTGACTTTGATTCTTCATTCTTGGTGTCCCACTGTGCCCCCTCCCCAGTCAGTCATGGTTTTCTACTACAAGCACCTGCAGTACTCTGATTGAGGGATTTCCCTGGCTTTCAGAATGCGTTTTGTCTACCTATAGAGTAGGCCAGAAAGGTTGAGGCGTGCACAGGCTCTAGAACAGTCTTCAGCTAATGACAAATAGGAGTTGATGCACAAATGTGTAAGTGTTTTCTCTCTTTTGCAAAAGAACAACTCCGTCTACTTTCCTATATGTACCAAGATCCCAAGATCGAGGCTTAGTTGTTCACTGTGGTAACCCTCTTTTTAAGTGTACCCTTTTATTGGCTTTCTCCTCTTCCCTCTCTCACTTTCCCACTTTCTTATCATTGCTTTGTAGGTTTGCCTTCCAAATAAACCACTACTATGATCTGAATATGTCCTCTGAAATTCACGTATTAGAAACTTAATCTCCAATTCAACAGTGTGAGGAGGTGGGACCTACTTGGAGGTATTTAGGCTATTTAATGGGATTAACTCACCTACAAGAGGGCTTGCAGTAGTTCACTCTCTTGCCTTTTCACCTTCTGTCATGTAAGGATAATGCAAGAAGCATTACCAGATGTGAGTGCTTCCTTCGTCTTAAGCTCTCAGCCTCCAGAACTGGGAGAAATACATTTCTCTTGTACTCAGTTTTCAGTATTCTGTCCTAGAAGCATAAAACATAGTAAGCCAACTACTTAACCTCAAATCTTTGTCTGAGTCAGCTCAACTAAGAGTTACCTTCCACAAAGTTTATAATAATTTTTACTTCTACTAGCAATGTCTGTTCTTCATTCCCCCCTAATCTCTGTCATGCCCCCAATTCACTAGTATTGTTTATCCATTCATTCATTCAGTCATTCATTCATTCAACTGATACCTCGTGAGTATTTTTTGTTAGACACTTTTCTGATCTCTGGGTATAACAAAGGTTCTGGATATCAGATACACTATCTCCATATCTGCATTCCTTTCACTTTGAAGTTGACAGCTGTCTTAGTCCATTTTGTGTTGCTGTAACATAAAATCTGTGATAGAGTACCTTTAAAAGAAAAGAGGTTTACTTAGCTCATAGTTTTGGAGGCTGAAATTTCAAAATTTAGCAACTCCATTTTCTTGGCCTCTGGTGAGGGTCTTCTGGCTACATCACAACACTGAATGGTGCAAGCTGCATAAGCCAAACTAGCCTTGCGACAGTCTGCTCTCGTAATAACCAATTCATTCCCTCTGTAACTAATCCACTCCCATGAGACTGGCATTGATCTCTTCTGGGGGTGGTGCCCCCAATTATCCAATCTCCTCTCACTAGGCTCCACCTTTCAAGGCTCCACCATGTCTCAATACTATCATATTAAGGACCAAGGTTACAGCATATGAGCCTTTGGAAAAAAAAAACCATATCCAAATCATAGCAACATCTAAACTTCTCTTAAGGAAGAAAAATATAACATTATTCCACAATTGGAGAAAAATCATTGAAAATACATAAGCCTGACTCGGGTAGCACATGAGTGAAGGATAGTGAATATTTCTGTGTTAGCTTTTCATTACTATAATGAAATACCTGAAAAAGACTAACTTTATAAAGTCAAGAGGCTTATTTATCTCACAGGTTTGGAAGCTGAAAGTCCACACAACATGGTATATGTTCTTGGAAGGACTGCATAGTAGATGATGAAAGTGTGTGTGGGAGGAAGCAATTTTGAATTAGGAAGCCAGAGAGATCCTGGAAGGGGCCAGGTTTAGGCTTTTATAGGATGCTCATGAAAGAGACAGAGTACCACACAAGCATTTTAATCCTTTCAATGACATCTCTCCAACTGACCTAAGTGTCTCCCACTCAACCTCATCTCTTAAAGGTTCCACACCATCTCCCAATATCACCACCTTGGGGACTAAAACCCCAACTTAAGCCTTTGGAAGACTCTCAAACTATATCCATACCATAGCCATCTATAAAAGGCATGATCAAGACTGATTATGAAATCCTTCCCAGGTTTGTTAAGGGGTGGGGTTGAAGAGAGTAAGAGATGTCAGATCTTTGAAGTGGGTCAAGAGGACCTTGGACAGAAGATGATCAAGATTTTACATGGTGATCTAGACTAGACTCTGATCCAGCACAAAAAGAAACTGCATACTGAGCAATTTTGTCATACAACTACAAATGTTTTTGCTTTCATGATTTATGGGCATGTTTTTGTTTTCCACACTGCCTGTTTTCATAGTAAAGAGCTGTATTCCCAAAGCACTCGTTAATGGAGGTATTATTGTTTTCAAAAGAACAAGAAAGAGTCACCCCTACCCTGGATAAAACCCACAGAGTGCTTCTCTGCTCTAAACCAAGCTTTCATGCATTGTTTAGGCAAAGTCTGTCTACATCCTGTAGTCACAGCCTCAGCTCACCCTGGATGCCCTAAAAAAATTGTGCTTTCAAATGGTCAACACTCTCTCTCTTCCCAGCACTTATTTCAAACTTTATTGTTTTTCTTTAAGTTCCCTGCTCTACTCCTTTCTCCTTGCTCTAAGCACATGAGTCTGCATTCTATTTTAAGAAAAGAACTATGCAGTGCAAATATGGGTTCCTCCCTAGTCAAACCTCTCCACACCTGCCTCCATCCACTGCTCATAAATGCTGGCCCCTCTGCCTGCAGCCCTCATCTATTTTCTCTGGGCCCCTCCAATACATTATGCTAGCACTCAGGTCTTACACTTCCCCAGCCTCTGCTTCTCAGGAAGCAGACCATGTATAATGGCAACAAAATGCTGGATAGGAAGTGGAGCCAGACTCTAACAAAACACTCCAATATGGTATGCAAGCATCCTCTTAACCACTGCATGAAAGTTACTACCACTTCTTCCTTTTGATACTCTTTCTTCACTTTGTTGCTGTGAACTAGTCTTCTTTTACCTTTTAAGTTGATTGTATTAAGTCTCCTTTTTGTATTCATCCATTAAAGGTGGCTATTCATAGAGTTCTATTCTCACATAATCTGCTCCGTCTGTTTCTTCCTCTATTAACATCATCACAAGCTACAACCTGTATTAGGCAGGACTCTTTGGATTTTAAATGATATAAATATAATTCAGTTTAATTAAGCAAAGTTAAATAAAAGATGGAATTAGAATTTTTTTATGTAATATACTTGCGTTGATCCAGGATCTTAAAAAGATCATCAGAATTTGTCCTTATTCTCTTTCTCTCTATTCTACATCCATTTGAGTGACATTATTTTCAGCCCAGCTTCCTCTAAGTGACCCCTTGGAGCTCCAAAAGTACATAGTAACAATGTCAGGGATATATTGCCTTGGGTGTCCATCCTAAAGCAACAGAGTAAAATGTGATTATTTTCTTAAGGCTGAGTCACATCATCAACCCTGGAGGTAGGCTTAAGGATCAACCCCAGACCTAAACTGACACTCATTTATTTAATACACACTAAGTGGCTACCACGGTACAAGGTACTGCTTTGTGTTCTGTAAGCACAACAAGGAACAATAAAGTCCCTAGTCATGAGAAGCTATTATTCCAGAGGGAGACACAGAGTATATAAAACACAGAGATAAGCAAATACAAGCATAGGAGCACAATGCGGTGGAGAAAGATGAGGCTGCTGAATGGAGAACAAGATTAGTTTCTTCCAGAATAACAGGATAGTGGTAACAGAGGGTTAACAGAGGATTAACAGAGTCTAGGTGGGCAACAACAATAGATGTACTCTAACTTTATGGGTCATGAAATCTGAGTACAGGGTAACTGAGAACATAAGGGGATAACAGAGAGGAAATCATGGTGGAATCAGAGCGTTCAAAATCTCAATGAGGGTTGACTGTTCAGAGGTGGAGTATTAGACAAAATAAACTGGAAAAAATCGAAGGTGGCATGCAGGAAGTGGGATACTTGAAATGGAGCTTTCATAGGTAATGTAGTCAACAAAGTCTCAAGTTTGATAATAGGAGTTGAAAGCTGAGGCAAAATGAAGGCACAGATGATTGGACACAAGGAGGTCAAGGAGTTGAGAGGCCAAGTTGTCCGAGAAATGTCTACATAGGTACGGAAGTATTCAAGAATGCTAACAAAAACAGTGGTAGAAAGAGAGACAGTGACACAGGCAACAAATAATTAATGAAGTAAGGAGAGTAACAAGGAAGACCACGTATAATGGCAACAAAGTGTGAAAGAAGGTGGTATATTCTGTTAGTGCACCAGATTAGCTGGAGATGGAGTGGTTTAGGGGAGAGGAGGCAAAGATCATCTGAAAATAGTCACAGGGAATAAAGGAGAACACCTAGCCATTATCTCCAGAACTTGTGTATATGAAATTCAAGTCCACAGAGAAGGCTGGGCAAAGTCAGCATCCTCTAGAGGCAGATGATTTTCAAAGCAAAAAGGGGAAGCACAAAAAGATGAATTATTTGGGGATTTTGCTGATGCTGTGCTATGAGTTCCAAAGGGCTCAAAAGAAGGATCTGGGGAAAGATATATAACATTAAGCCAGAATAAGAAATGTGCAGAGAAATATAGCCAGTCCCAATTACAGGACATAAAGAGGGACCCAAAGTATGTGAAATTAGTCAATGTGGTCTTTTAGAAGGAAGTAAGCGACCAGTTCTGGCTGTGGACTCCTTTGTGAGACTGTTCTCCAAGGCAATCTTCAGTAAAGAAATGGGGAGTGTTGGAAGGCATCACAGTTTTGCTAAAATCTATGAGAAACCTTGTTAGTTTTACGTGGAACCCTAAATCAAGTCCTTTTAAGCTCCCCATGAAGCATAACCTTCCCAGGGTCTGTATTTTTAAAACAAGGCCATTTTCCCTAAGCGGAAAGAGGGAAGAGAAATTGAGCCTCTGCCTCTTGCCTCATTTGACCCAAATTGTGTGCTTCCTGCTTTGCTCAGCTAACCAAATAGAGTTAATATGACACAAAAGATTACTGCTCCATCTCTCCAATAATCAAATCATCAAAATCAAATAGTCAAGCATGGTGTTCCCCTAATAGTGGACTTCACATTCACATGACAGCTAATAAATATGAAAGATCAATGTGACTATGTGTGGTTTGAATTAAACTGCAGAATTTATAATTCTTTTAGGCAACTATTCATGTTGAACATTCAAATTAGGTGTCCATTTTGGATTGGTGAAAATGATGGTGAACTTTATAGTAGATGATACTTCCTGAGAGCTTTGCAATCATTCATATTAGCTGGCTTATTCCTCAAGGCTCAAATAAATTTGAGAGAACCAAAATCAACTTGAAAGAGGTCAACTTGACCTTAACTCAACTTTTCTGCCAAGGGCAGACCATCAAGAAACTTTGCTTACAGATGACACAGCACAATGGGTTCCAAATTAGATAACATTATAGGTTAATGGCTTGCATGAAATATGTGAAAATAATTATATTAGTAACACCTACTCTTTTTGTGTGCTTACATTTTGAGGTATGTGTTACTATCTTAATTTTATAAGCTAAGGAGTTTCTCAGAGAATAAATAGGTCACCCAAGGTCACACAGTGATGATGCTGGGAATATCAATCCCAGTCCATCTCAACCTGGAATTATTAATAGGAAAACTCAGAGAGAACAACTTTCTCAAGGCCATAGAACTACTCGATGATGTTTCTCAGATATAAACCCTGGCCTTATTTCAACCTCTGGGAAACCTATT